TTTCAATTTCATAAGGTTCTTTTATACTGTAGCATGGATAATGCAATTTAATTTAAATATAGTCCGTTAAATAGACTTAAGTGTTAATTTAGTTGTTCTAGCATAACATTAGTTGAAAGCCAGCAGGGGATACATATTTCCATAATTTAAAGACATGATGTGGGACAATCCAATTTAATGCAGTGCTTCTTCTCCAGTGTTACCAACATTATATTGTATCTCAACTAATAGAGATCATTGATTTTAAATGAAGCAGATCTTAAATGATACAATTTTATAATAGCATGACAGTTTACCGGAAGCATTTAAGCTGGCTTATTCAGTATCAAAAGTCCCTGTGCATATAGTTTATTGACAGATTTTTTTATATTAGAAAAAATAATTGCTGAAATAACACCCTCCAAAAACATTAAATGAACACCCTGGCAACCAGTTGGGCCACTTTACCAACTGTACAGCACTTGATCATTGTTGTGGCAAAGTTTGTTACATTATTTAAGGCGCTATTTAAATGGTTCGTTGGCTTGTAATCATAGAAAGACCAAATTAGGATTATGTCTTCTTAAAATGTCCTAAATGTGAAATATTGATTGATAGAAAATGGGAATCCGCATTTCACATTTTACATATTTTTCTTGACCCTGTTAAAATCACTGCTATAAAATAGATATTTCTGTCGCTTCATTGTTATCGGTTAAGCTGTGTTTGTGTTAATAAACAGACGCCTGTAACTTATTTCCCGATCAATCCACTATCTGTAATGAGCCAAAGCAACTGTCTTATTGCCTTTGTTTAATTTTGGTAAAGTGCACATCGTGCCTTACAATGCACTTTAGCTGTTATAGAATCACTGTAAACCGTGGCTCTTGGAGATTATTGCTTATACACTGCTTTTTGTTATGGCATGTTACTTTGTATTTGTATAAACTGTTCTAGAGCAAGTGAACAAAATCTACAACTGACTGAAGATAACAAACGTTGCATCTTTCCATAAACATAATATGATGCCCACATGTCTCATCTGACACGCATTTATCCATCTGCTACAGAGAACGAAACCTTCATTTGTGTTTTATCTAAAGCTCTGGGCCAGAACACGAAGTCCCTGAGGGATGTAAATAACGCTGATGATAACAGACGCTTCCATAAATGAACATAAACACGAGCCACCAAATTACCAGCCTGTGGAGAACTTTAATTTTCTTCTGCTTTCTTATTTTGCTCAATCCCACTGATGAACACGGTTTTATGTAAATGTATTTCATCTGAACACACACAGATGCTTCTATTATCACTGGAATTCAGAAGTGTTGTTATCAGCGCTCGTCTCCTTCACAATCTCTCTCTATAGTCTCCTTACAAACATATGCGGTTAAATACTGTTTCCCAGCAGGGCTTCATATTGTTTCATCTTATGCGTAATGTTTCTTCAACTGAGCTATAGATTCCTCTGCGATGTAAACATTCAGTTCCTGTATCTCCTGTGTTTGCCGTTTACAGCTTAAATTAAAAGTTTGTCTTTGAAACATTCTTTTATTACAATTTTCATTATTTGAAAGGGGTTTATTCAGACATAATTAACAGACATTATATGATGAATATAGTCTTAATAAAGATTTGAGGTGAGTCACCAGCAGCTTGTAAAGGATTTTGTCCATTCCTGTGATTTTTCCAACACAAATCCCTAATGATCCACACATCCGAGAGCGACGTCAGGAAATAATCCAGGCTGCTCTTCTCATATCAGATGACTAAATCTTGACATTTTATGTAGGAATGTGGTGCGTGCCTTTGTAAAGTTCACTGCCACAATGCTAGACTGATGAATTTTTTTGTGGTCCTTGCTGAAAAAAAATAAAAATAAATCTATAGAAATCATCACAAGAGATGCACATGCAAATACCACAAAAGATTACAAACCAGTACATTTTAATGGTCTCTTTAATGAGTTGTATTTCAGGATTTGTTCAAGCTTGAAATAATCTATGGATTTCAAGTTTGCAGAATGCAGCTGCGAGGCCTTTTACCGATTAGGAGATTGAACATACATTTTTATGGTCAGTCTCCAAGATCTTTTACATGCACACTCATATGTCTGGTCCTTGAAATCTTCTGACCAAGACCTTTTAGCTATTCCCATTGCAAGTCTCTATACAAAGGTGACCTCTAACTTTGCGAACTCTGTTAAACTTGGGAAGCACATAAAGACTCATCTTAAAAGTATGCCTTGGTGGCTATACATTTCTGTGGTATTTGTGCTTGGAGTTGAAAATTACTGTAAAGCACTTGACATCTTGTTACTGTGACATTTTGTCTCTGAAATGTGCTTTAAGAATACATTTTACTTACTTTCTTGCTTGTTTGTTGGTTTTATTTCACAAATACAGTTTCCATTTAAACCAGTTTGGTTTAAATGCACAGGTAGTTCCTGTGCTTCTCCCAAACATCTTAACAACTGGCATGTGCTGCACAGGAAACCGATGAAGACATGGGAAATCCACATAATTTGATAAATACTTATCGATGTTACAAAATTTTCCTAGTGATGGGTTGCGGCTAGAAGGGCATCCGCTACGTAAAATGTGTTGGATAAGTTGGCAGTTCATTCCGCTGTGGCGACCCCGGATTAATAAAGGGACTAAGCTGAAAAGAAAATGAATGAATGATGCCACAAAATCAAGTTTTAATATTTTTTGTGAGAATATAGTTATTTTAAACTCTTAAACTTTAGTATAAGTTTGACTCTGAGCTCCGAGAAGTCAGCAGCAGCTCCCCCTTGAACAAAGCTTTATATCAGCTGGACCATATCACGACGTGCCGATGGATCTCTTCTCTTGCATCGCTGTTGTTAAAACATGATATATAATTAATCTTTGGTTTGTCTAACAGCCAGTCTTTGAACCTTTGAGCTTATTATTTGTTGTCAGGTGTATTTTTTTGCCAGATCGCAAAGATAATTTTCATAATTTATTTATTTTGTAAATAATGTAATGTTACACTGATCCTGAGTGTTTGGCTGATTGGTTTTGTTTTAGAGGAAAAAAAAGTAAGTAGAATTTTCTCTTACCTGCCCTAACAAATATTGGTCTGCGAAGAGCAAAATATAGTAGGCCTACTATAGCAAATGACCATGGAATAAGCATGATAATCAATGGCTTGCTGTGCGTTAAAGGATTTCAATGCACTTCGCGGAGGCGACCTCTAATGTGAAGTGGATGCTGACAAGGAAGTGTGGATCCAATCGCAGGTTTATTACACAGGTGATCAAGCAGGCAATGGTCAACACAGGGGCAAACAGATGTATACAGGGAATTCAGAGTTGTGGTCAAATAATAGTTAAATGGTCAGTCAACAATAACAATTTAAACAATAAACAAGCAAAGCAAAGATCGGTACACGCCAAGACAAGGCAAGAGAAACTGATCATAATGTTTACAGTAGCAGTACAACAAGAATGTGCACTGATGCTTGTGTGTGCTGTTTTTAAAGTCCATGTAATCAGTCCTTGCCAATCCTCTGGCTGTGTGTGTGAGTGCAATCAGCAGAATCTGGAATAGGTGTGTGTGAGCGGTGCATGACTGGATCTGTGGTCCATATAATGGTGGATTTGTAGTTCTATGGCAATGTGCTTGTCTACCAGCGATCTACAAGTATTAGATAGCTGATGATTGTGACACGACCACACTCCACTAATGAGTCAAGTGGCCCTTCGTCTTCACCTTGTGCATTAAAACCCTGTAACGCATGGCAAGTCGTAGATTATCCCTTACTAATAACGCTCTAAAAAATGCTGCATTGTTGTAACCCAACATTGGGTTACATGTGGACAAATTCAAAGCTAGTTTTTATTTATTTATTTATTTTTTATTAAATTTAAAATACACTTTTAACTCAATTGTTGGGTTTGTTTATATTTGGCTCAATGTTACAACATACCAGCATTTTTATTTTATTTTTTTTGAGTAAACCATTAAAACCATTGTACATTATGTAATGGATTCTATTGCTTGTTTGTTTTGTTTTTGCTTTTTTAGCAAGGATGGCTTAGGTGTTTTCAGTGTTTTTAACACACTGCCTCAAGTTGAAAGATGGATTATCATGATGTGTTTTGTTCTAGCTAATGAATAAAGCTTTTCTTAAGCAATTAGCACCATGCTAAGAGAGCAGGATAAGCTGTTAACTTGCTGACTGAAAGCAAGTAGTGATATGCTAACATACTTTAACTGTTGACTTGCTAACCCAGGGCAAACTGACAAGGATGTTTTTTTTTTTACGTTCAATATCAGCAATAATAAATAAGTGCCATATAATATCTTACCAGACACTAAATCTTACCAAAAATATTTCAGCTAATGAAGGTTTTTATTGTGGAAAATGCTAAATTAACTACTTTGTATATAAAGTAAGTATTACATTAGCTTTTCCAGTGTTACAGTATTTGCTGCTGTGGTCTGAAGTGATATATTCTGGCAGAAAGCAGGCCTTGTCCACCTGTGTGTCTGCCATTTTGACAGGCTGAAAAGCAGGCCGACCGTCCAGAGTGACAGCTGTCAGACAGGCTTTTACTGGATGTGCACTCATACCTGGAGATGTTCATGCACACACACCAACACATGAAACACACAGATGATTCCATGTCAGAATGAGGCGGCGGCACAGAACATGACAGCGATCGGGTGACGAGTGAAACGTGGTTGAGTGTGTGTGACAGAGAGAGAGAGACAAAGCAGTGCAGTCTGGGAAAGAATGAGATATGATGTCTTTGAGCTCTGACACTGCTGGGCTTTCTTTGAGCTTCACAATCATCTGATGTTTCTGATTTTGTCACTTTGCCCGTCGGTGTCAAGACTGAGGATATCGGATGAATAAATCCCACAATCCCATTAAGTGGTGGGAGTCCATATGTGTCAGATTATGTGCTTCATACAGTATGTGATATTTAAACCCCTGAGATCAGACAGAAGTGTTTCATCTGGTTTTCTATCTTTGTTTTATTTCAGCTTCCAGTGGCAAATACCGCTAACGCTCGCAGTGGGAAACGCCAGTCACATATCAACGGAGACCATCATTTGGGTCACAAATAAATCAGGTATATATTATTAAGAGTGCTTGGTAAGCGCAGACACTCACATTATGGTTATATTTAATAACATTTTATAAGACTTCATGTTTTTTATAAATCTCGAATACACACACATATACATTTACTGAAATTCCTGATTTCAAAACTGCATGTTTTAGAGTGGCCTATTATTGTGGCCCACCTAAGGCACACTTGTGCAATAATCATGCATCTTAATATACCACATTTGGGAGGTGCAAATATTATTTTGGCAAACAGGTTTAAGAAATTGTGTTAACAGTATTTTAGAGACATAGGCCTTTTATGATTCATTACCCTATTTTTAAGAGTATGAGGAAAAATGCCATTTATGATAGATCACACATCATTTTTTACCAGACACTGAATCTTACCAAAAACCTTCAAGCTAATGGAATGTTTTTACTGAGTAAAATGCTAATTTAACTTCTTTGTATATAGATTAAGGCCCTGTTTACACTAATAAGTTTTAGTTTTAAAACAAGCGTTTTAGAATGAAAATGATCCGCGTCCACACTGGCATTTCATCTAGTGTTTCTGAACAACTCTCCATCCACACTACACCACTGAAAATGCACATCACATGACCACACAAACACACTGGCATGTGGTGCAGCATTTGTGGATTTCTGAGCTCCAGGCAGTTATCTACCCAGATGAGAGCTGTGCACATTGGACTGTTTATCAAGGATTTACAGCTGGATGTAATCTCACTTCATTTGTTAAACATAATATTTAATTCATCTTGTTCTCCATCCAACGACATATTTCCTGACTTTTTACATCTGTTACTTGTACTCAGGTAACGCGTTTTGGCTGAGTGCAAAAATAAGTTAATATATTAATTTATGTAATTAAGTACACTGATTCTATATGTTCGACTGATTGCTTGCATTTATTTGCTATAAATGCATTTTACATTATACTTTTATAATGGCCATTATTAATTATTAAAACTGATATTCAGCAAAAGAGAGGTATGTTTCGTATTTTCAATGAGAATGAAAGGAGCATACAGTGAAGATGGCGCTCATATAAATATGTAGCTTCACGACGACTCAACATTTTTGTTAATTTGCTTAAATCAAAATGAGAATAAGCAGTTCCTTAAATCATGTTTTCATTTTATTGCTAAGAAAGTGAAACAACGTAGCCAGGGTGATGTGAATGAGGTTATAAAGTACCCTGATCCCTTTGAAGATTTATCTGAAGTGTCCTCGAGGGTTTGTTTACCATATGAAACTTGCGAAGTCTGAACTTACAGAGAGTGGTTGCAAGACTGAACTTAGGCGACTTAATATTGAGGAAAAAGCCCCAATAGGCAAATGTCTGCAGCCCTCCTCTGTTTTCAGATGTCTCTGTTTTCCCACATCCACACTGACATGGAGCAGCAGCGTTTTCAAAAGGCTCCATATTTGGCGCACGAAAACTTCGGTGTAGTGTGGATGAATGGCATAACCATAGCGAATCATGCATTTTCAAACTAAAACGTATTAGTGTAAACGGGGCCTAAGTATTGCATTAGTTCTTCCAATGTTTTTCCACAGTATTTACAGTATGGCTGTGTTGTACAGTGGCTTGTTATTGTGGCCATCCGGAGGCACACATGTGCAGTAATCATGCTCTCTTGAAATACCACATCTGGGAGGCGGATAGATTATCCCAGCAAACAGGTTTAGAAAAAGGTGAAAATGTGAGAGAAATAGGCCTTTGGTTATTTCAGTTTATGAAAAAAACTCACATTCAAAAGACATTCGTTACCAAATTTTCAACAGTATGAATAAAAATGTCATTAAGCAATGGATCACACATCATTTCTTACCAGGCACTGAATTTTACTATAAATATTTTAACTAATAGGATTTTATCGTGGAAAATGCTAATTTAACAACTTTGTATATAGAATAAGTATTGCAGTATGTCTCCCAATGTTAAAGTATTTATTGCTGTATTGTACAGTATTTATTTTCTCAGCATTTATTCATTTCAGCATTTATTCTAATCAACATCTTGGCTTACCCCCATGTAGCGTCTATATTTTGGTTGAGTTTGTTTTATGTTTTGTTGCTTTCATTGAAAATGTTAGGGATAAAGTACATGCATAAGGTTGTTATCACAGAATAAATCCTGAGAGTGCAAAACAGAGACTTTAGTTAAAACACAACTACTTGCCACAACACATAAAGAATAATACTTCATAAATGATTTAATTAAACTAAAAGCTGACAGAAACAAAACTGAACTGAATGGAGCATTCACTAACATATTATAGCTATATTATTCCACAGATTATTCATTCACAAGTTGGTGCCAAAGCAGTTAATAACAGTGGCATGGCAGACAAACAGATATAAATGTTGATTTAAGTATATGGATGTGAATGTTGGCCTGTTCAGTGATTAAAGGGTCACGAAACACCAAAACACATTTTTTGAGCTTTTGACAGTCGTATATGTGTCCCACACTGCTAAAAACACTATTAGGACACCTATATTTCACTAAAAAGTGTAAATTGGTTGTTTTTGCGTTATTTCAAGCAAATTCGTACTTCCTGTTTGAAACGAATTTTTGAAGCTGCGTCACGGTCATGACATAATAGCGTTGTATTCCAGCGTGCAGACTGGGCGTCTGTGCCTGAGTGAGTCTTATTACGTCTTACAGTGTGATACATTAATGCATGAGTAAGGCTTGGTTCAAACCAATCAGCGCGCTCTATTGTGCAACTTCATTAATATTCATTACTGTCACAGTGTTTACACCACAAAGACGCCACGTTGTGTTGGCAAAACAAGCGTGAAGTGTTGCTTTTATAGTTTGCTGCCGTTAAGTTTCGTTTTCATTTTCTCTCTGTGAGAGCTTATCTGGATCACGTGTGGATTAACAGTGTACGCGACGCTCGACAACAATAACTTACGTGTCTAAGGAGGATTATTGTTTACCTGAGAGCTGTTCTCATCTGCAAACGCTGAAATCTGGATTTGCTTGTAGTATTCTCTCCATAAAGACGCGGCTCTAGTTGCTGGTGATTGTCCTGTCTCTACAGATTTGGTAAGTGAGCGACCAGTGCTCTTTGTTTATTCAGTTTGTTCATATCGAATTAAGTTAACTATAGCACTGAGTGCAGAAATGTTAGCACCGCATTTAGTGACCGGAATAACACACGCGGCTTTCTGACGCTACCTGCCGTGTGCATCTAAGTTTCCGGGAAATGCGGAGTTTTTTTTTCTCTCATTCGCCGTGCGGTATCAAACATTGCATGAAAAATACACGCTTAGAGCAGTTCCTCGAATCAAATATCTCGTTTGTCGCGAGGGGCATGAATGAATTCCCTGAATGAAAGAGCCAAACTGCAGTTAAAGTCCAACATTTATTAATTCAGCAAATAATTCGACTACAGATGTCCATGTAGCTTAAACACCATCGCTTTCTCCTGTCTGTGTGGGTGTGTATTTTGACTCTGAAACTCGCGCGTGCACAAATAGACACTCCCACACCATCCCACTTTAGTTCCTCCGACACTCCCCCCTAAACAGAGCTAGACACGCCCACTTTTCTGACTTTTTCGAAAGTAGAGGTGTGAAAACACCCTGCTGAAACGAGGGGGTTTCATGGCCCTTTAAAGGTGATTCGAAGTTCCCAGGTGAGCCTGTGTTATTTAGTGGTGGTTATCTAGGATTAACATACCTTGCAATGACTAATCAGAATCGAGTATTCAAGACAGACATGTAAGAATTCCTGTTAAATTATATTTTACATAGTCAGTAGATATCAATGGATTGCTTTAAGGAGTTTTACACAGCATGGTAATTTGTCATGAACTGATTATGCCTTGTCTTAAAAAGTCAGGTTAGTTGATACAGTATTTCAAAAGATTATTGGTACACAAGATATAGCCGTATTTGTTGATTGATCAAAATGATTGATTATTCTGGCCCAAAAAAACATTGTCATAAATTAATAAAGAGGTATAAATAAAAGATAAATACATACATATAAGATGATAATAATAAAATAATTGCCAAACTACTTGATAAGTTTCTTTTTTTTTCCAGAAAGTCATCATTTTAATGAGCCTTTCATTATAATTCCATTCATTATAATCTCAGGGCAGACGCATCACCCTGACTTGTGAAATGAATTTTAATTAAGAAGCAGTTGCTAAAAACACGTTTGTCATTGATGCAAGTGCATTTAAATCATTGTATTTGCATATATTTTTATTAAAGAAATGTTTAGATTTCACTTAAAAAAAATAGATTGCGCCATTGACATAAGAAGTCTCTGTCTACTTAACTGTAAATGACACATTAAAACATAAGGTACATTATTAATTGGATTTCCTCATTAAATTAGAATAATTTACTCCCATGAGTGCATTTATGTAAATGTCCTTTCTTCAGCGGCTTCACATCCACCATCATTATATGCAATTCCTTTCCTCTCCTTTGGGAGAATGAGGTGGATTCTGTTCGGATGGAGCCACAGCGAGTCAAATTCCAAGAGCAGGAATTGAATTTGTTCTGCGAGCGGCTCAGAGCTGAGTGTCCACTGATTATGAGAGCATTTAACAGCCTCCACTTTCTGCTCACCTTTCCTGAAAAAGAGGCTCATCAGGGCTACAATGCAGACGACACAGAGTGAAGCAGAGACAATGACTCTTGGAGGAAACAGAGTCTGGAACGCAGAGACCCCATTTATATGCATTAACTCACTGCCTGACTCTTGCAATCTGCCCGGATGCGCTCGAGATCACGATACACTCCAAAAATCCATCCAGTGCACGAGCTGGAAAGCACTTAATCGGTGCATTTATTTTCCGTCAAAAAGCACAAGGTCCAACTGGAATATTACAGCAACAGAATGTTGCAAAGATGTTAGGTTACAGATGTTGTACATTACTCAAACGCTAAACACATCATCTCTTCTTGAAAATAGCAGAATAACTTCTTTCATCAACAACATGAATACCTTCATGAATAACAAAACTGATGTTATGAGTTTATTCTCATGATAATAAATAGTACTGAATTTATCAGTTCTGTATTTTAATCATTAATGTCATTAAAAAAAGTGGTCAGCTTACATAAATTGTATTTTTTATAAACATTTTAGTTTTTTAGTTTTTTATTTAATTATTGTCATCTAAAAACATTTATTTTCATGCGCAAGCATCATTTTGATGGCATTTGTGAATTTGTTTTATTTATTTGGATAAAATGTTCTGAAAAGCTGACTCATCCACTGGCTGCTATTTAAAAAAAGGCTTATTAAAAATGACATTTGCAAATGCTTCTTAAAAAATAAAATATATTTATTTAAGGACAGCACTAGTCTGAAATGTTCTCATGTTTTTAAAGAAGTTTTGTTTTATGATTGCCAAACAGTTGAGACAGTTAATTATGTATTGAATAAATTATTAATTATATTAAAGTTACATTTTATTTCAAGGTACAACCCAGGCTATTAATAAACCAATGACTATGTCTTTTATTTCAACAAACATCTAATTTGCTGCTTATAAATAGTTATTGATGAAGCACTTGGGCTTAGGTAGCATTAAGGATGTAAAAGAAGCCAATCTTATCAACAGGCGGGTAATAATTCACTAGTTTTGGTGAGAATTGTTCCCTGTACTAAAATGTTACTTTAAATTTATTTGCTGTAGTTATATCATCCATGCATCATAGTTCATAGTTCAAGTATCACAGTTCAGTTTCCTTCTATTTTGTATTTTCTTTAGTTTATTTATATTTTCTGTTTTGTTTCATACTTGCTATCATCTAAAGAGAATCACATTTGTCTGTGAGCACCATTTCGCGGCCTGTGTTTCTGCTTATAAGCTCCACATTTTGCTGTCAAAGCTGAAATTAAATGTTGGTTTCATGTCCTTGTCCTTTTTTTGCTCATGTATTTATAGAGGCGCACAGAGTGGGTCACATGGTTGGTGAGACATGGTTGCTGGGCAACATCAATCAGACGGGCTACTTTAGAGTGAACTACGACCTTCACAACTGGAAACTTCTTATTCAACAGCTGATGAGCAACCCGACGGTACAGAACCCACAATCCCTTACTTCCATCTTGTGTTTCCATCACCCTATCCTGTTAGTTAAAATTTGCCTAATGGAGGCATCAGTTTTGCACATCGATATGGGATAACTAAATAACTAGTGCCACATGAGGTGGTTTTGCAGGCAGTTGTGAAAAAGAATGTTTCTTAAAACTTCAACTTTGGTTGAACTACACAACTGCAATAATATTACACCACTGAGGAAGAAAAATAAAATGATAATATTTGAACAGGAAATATATCTTTTTAATAAATAAAAATAAACAATATAAGTCAAGATCAAGCCAAAATGTGCCAAACAATTTTTTTTAAAGCATATATTTAAAACAAGAATCATAAATAGATAACACTAATAATCGGTAATCAATAGGCGATAAGAATGAAGAAATTATACAAATTACAAATACATAGTCATAATATTTTTTGTCTTTTTAACTGCAGATAACTTTAAACTGGGGTAACATTACTTTTTTTCATAAAAATTCAGGGAAAGTGTATCTTGGCTTGTGTGCATTAATTCTTTAAAAAAATGCAGGGAATAGTGTATTTTGGCTTGCGTGCTTTAGTTCTTTATAAAAAATGCAGGGAATGGTGTATCTTGGCTTGTGTGCATTAATTCTTTAAAAAAGAAACTGCAGGGAATGGTGTATCTTGGCGTGTGTGCATTAATTCTTTAAAAAAAACTGCAGGGAATGGTTTATCTTGGAAAATCCCTTTCCTTCCACAAAGTTTACTCAAGCATAACACAATCAAGGGCATACTTTTCTTTACCTCTTTTTTGGACTAGATGAACTAGATGAACTGTCATTATCAGTCAGATATTGAAAGTAGATATAGCTTTTTTAGAAGTCCTAACATTGTATGCTGTTCTTAAATTATTAGCAGTGCTAATTTCGTCAAAGAATATTAAGGACAACATCTTTTATGTTGCTTATAGCTTGACAAACAGAAAGTTGACAGGTCATGTGACTGAAAACCATAAATGTGCATGCTATGATCCTCTAATTAATGACCAGAACATTATTCTTGAAGAAAAATTACTAGACTAAAATGTAGTTAAAATGTTAAAACTAAATAGCATGATTTTTTTATTTTTTTATTTTTTTGTTATAATTCGCTTCTTTGAGCTGTTCATTCATTAGATTGATTGGAACACATGTATTTAGTCACATCACTGGGACAGCAGAAAGATTGCACTTGTGTGAAGAAATTAACTCGGATTCAATTTAATTCATATTTATTTCTATAGCGCTTTTACAATGCACATTGTGTCAAGCAGCTTAACATAGAAGTTCTAGTAAATTGAAACTGCGTCAGTACAGTTTTCAGAGTTAATGTTCAATTTAGTTCAGTTCAGTGTGGTTTAAATGTCACTGCTGAAAGTCTGAACACTAAAGAGCGAATCCATCAATGCACAGCTCCATATGTTCCAAACCAAGCAAGTCTGTGGCCATTGATAATAGAACTATAGTATTTGTAATCTTATTGGTTAAAAAAAATGTCTTACTTGAGTCTTACTTTTTTAAATAATCTTTTTCGTTTAATTTCAAAGTGCCTTCACACTTTTAATAATTCAAAATTAATTTTCTTATCACAAATATTGTGGAAATAATGTAATCTCAGCTGCCTATAAATGTTCCTCTGTTGGTCACAGATCATGGAAAGTGAAACCTAAATCTCTCATGGGTGGTTGGATTTATTCAAAATAATTTTAAAAACTTTCTTTTTTTAGATAACATTTTTTTACAGCACTATTTATATGACAACAGGCTGTTTAGTATAACTTTTAGGGGGAAAAAAACTGCAGTTCAATGCAAAATCAGACATTGAGAAACACCCATATAGCCAAAATGGGCAACTTGGTGTAATCCTCATTTCATAATACCCTGTGAAGAGATTTGCAGTCGAATCAGGCACTTCCTATCCAAGCATCAAATCTTTGATTATTCATAGTCAACCCTGCTATAATGTCTATAAAATCACTGTTAAACTGCAGAGTCAAATTTTCAACATCAAAAGTTGACAGAGCGGAGATCAAGATCCCTTAATGCAATTCATAACCATAAAAAAAACAAAAAAAAAACATGAATCATGATATTAAGAACCGGTTAATTTACTTTTTTTTCACAATATGGAAATGTTTTTATGAATGCTTTCTTATCAACGTATAAAACATCAAATCTGTAGGTGAAAGCAGGTTTCTGTCAGTACTTTCGTTTTCGACTCCTGATTCATCAAATTATGTTTCCCCTTCAGTCATGATTCCTCTTTTCCTCCTTCTCCTCATCTCTCATCTATCCGCCTGCTTTCCGCTGCATTATAAATGTGTGTGCTGTTCTCTTGTGGCAGATCATCTCTGTGGGCAACAGGGCCGGTCTGATTGATGACGTCTTCAACCTGGCGAGGTGAGTTGTGTTTGTTACACGGAGCCTCTGGAAACATGCAGAGTCATTCAGAGAGCCTGAAACCTGCACTAGAGATCCATTTAATGTCCTTCACACCCCTGCAGAGTCTAATTCAGCTTTATTTGTGTGCTGCTTTTTATTGTCCCACTAACTGTCAGGTTATTTCAGGAGGTCTTTGACCTACCACTGAGCAAGTACAAAGTGACAGCGGTGAGGGAAAACTCTCAGAGTATAAAAGCCCATTGAGACCAAATCTATGGCAAGCCATTTTTACATCTAACCTATAAAATACACTACTATCTATTTTCATTATTTGAGAAAATTTGTGTATATTAGTATGTTTTCTGTTTAGTGCTAATACGTATTAGCTTGAACTAATACTTATTCATTAGCTTCTATTGAGTTTTCCTCTGGTACTAGTACCTATTTTAAAATATACTAGTACTTATTCATAAATCACCAGTTTTTCTTTATTAGCTACTAGTACTCATGTATTCATAGCACTTTATTATACAGCACTGTTTTTTGTGTTTAAGCTATTTTTCTTATCACCATTATTACATAAACTAGGTAATAATTAGGTGCTATCTGTATCTGTATGCCCTGAACCTAACCTTAACCCATGTAGTTACCCTTAACCCATTTAGTCAAATAGATGCTGGCTGTTTCTCAATTCCAAGAACACTGAGAACAGACTTGTATTCTTGTGAAGAGCAGTCTTGCCAAGTTACCTCAGAAGAACGAACTCTGGAGACCGCGAGAACACAGAACGCGTCCTGTGAGAAATGAGAGGCTGTGTTCTTCTCTGGTTTTTCCTGATGGTCACATGACCTTGCGTTTTTAACCGAACATTACAGCATTCATACAGCGATTTATCATTTTTTTAATCATTTTTTTATCATAATTTTATCATTTTTACTATGCATATAGACTTTACAGATGTACTTTGCACAATACAAATAAAAAAGATTTTATTACAAAATTGAGCAAATAAACACACTCAATGTGTTGTGTTTATGCCTTAATAAAGATTTTCATTATGAATGTTTACTTTCACCTACTCATGTATAGGGAAACTTCTGAGGTAAATAAGTTATATCTCTGAATTGTAATGATAAATCAACTGTATTAAAAATGTTGCACTTCCCACCTCATTCGCAATGACTTCTGGAATTTCTAGAGCTAATTCGTTGCTCAAGTCTGCATCTGTGTTTCTTTGATATCTAAGAACACATCGGGGAACTTTCACGTGTCCTCTGTTCTTGCAATCTTGAGTTTTGGAACTGAACTTTGGCGGTTGATGATGTTACACGAGAACACAAGATCACTTAAAAAAGCATATTGAGAAACAGTCATTATGTGCACATAATGTAAAATAAAGTGCAACCGATACTTTTAGTATTTTTTTCTAATTATTTCTAGTACCATTTGTTATTACTAGCCAATATGGTCTAATATATAATAAATGTGTAGTTTTTTTTTTATTAAATGAGTACTAGAAGCTAATCAAATCAATTCAGTCAACAAGGAATAGTATCTGTTTCATAGATATGGGTGTCTAAATAACAATTACTAGTACCGAATACAGTTAATCAGAATTAATATCTAATGAATAAATACTTGTATGTAATAAAAATCAAATTGACCTAAAAGGTATACATATTTAATGAATAAATAGTGTTTAATAGTGTTTAATAAAAAGTATGTAAAAACTTAGGTATGTAATAGGCATCTCAAACAAGAAATGTAAATAGTACTTAATGATGTAAAAGATAGCATATAAATTGCTTCTATATAGATTAGATGTTAAAACAGCTTGTCATACTACGAATACTAACTTTAGCACAAAAACGTATGAACTTCACTGTACATAATTAATTTATAATTTAAATAAAATCCCTTAAATGCACTTATGTTGTTTTATTATACAACTTAAATGTAAGATTTCAACATTTATTCACTTTGACAAAATCAGATCAGCCTTTAAATCGGTTTCTTTGAATGCATTAAATCAATTAATTGTACTTATTTATTTATTTTTTATGATAATATGCTTAATTTCTGAATGACACACTGTGAATGAATAATTAATTTATTAAAATTTGATTTCCCTAAAGAGCTTATCCTAATCATGGAGGATTTTTTTTTCCCAACAAATGTCGATCACCAAAAAGGGGGTTGCAATAGCTGAAAATTGCAGCAGTGCAAATAGATTTTTATCTTCCTGGGATTTCAGAAGGTTACATCATGATTAACAGGTCTGTATGGAAATGAAAGTGTTGCAAATCTGTGTTTAAAACCTTGGTTTTGCATACATTAACAGCCTCCAAGCTGATTAAAATAGCATCACAAGACATACAGATGAGTTCATATTCAATATGATCTGCTGATCTCAGAAGAATTAAATGTTACAGAAAGTTCAAATCCTGACATATTCACCAGATGTGGAAATATAATATGTAAAATGACCATATAATGTTCATCTTAAGTGGATCCATTATGTTTTACATAGCCGTACTTGCTGTTAAACTTAAATAGAAGTGATTAGCCAGTCAGCACCTACAGTAAAAAAACATCCATTACCTTTCCTTTGATTGACATTTGTGAAAAGGTATATATATATATTTTTAGCATAATTGTGGTACTGGAAATAATGGTTCATTACATTACATTACATTATAACTGTTTATTATAACTGTTTATTCATATTATTCATATTATTATTATTATTATTATTGTTGTTGTTGTTGTTGTTGTTGTTGTTGTTGTTGTTGTTGTTGTTGTTATTTGATTCAATGGAGTATTAGGGTTTCTAAGTTTGTTTTTATAATTAATTGTCGTTTTGGTGGTGCAATTAATTATTGATTTAATAAATCATACACAATACATTGACAATTAATTGTTTTCTACTAATATGGCAAGCTGTTTAAACACTGAATCTATAAACATAGAATTCATAATTACAAAACTAGTACTTTTTTTAGATCCACTTTGTGTTTAATTGTATGCAAGTAAATATTCATAGATTATACTTATTCATCATGTATTAGTTTTTACCCTCTTTAGATAAAGGTACCTGACCTTTTGGTAAGACTGAATGGTCAGTCTGAATGTATAGTTATAAAGCCGTCCATCACACTGGAAAGAGCAGTCAGATCCAGTCAACTTCTGACCGTTCATTACTGACAGATGCAGCTCGTGTACTGTTAGTTCCTTTTCTCCTTCAGCCTGAAGGCATTATTGAAGAAAAAGCCTTTAGCTTATCAAGAATAGACCTGTGGTGAGACTATTCAGCCGTTACTGCCATGGTGGATAATAAGAATGTGAAGTAAACCTCTGCCTTTTCACTGTTACCTCATTGTGTAGATCCAGATTTAAAGCTTTAACATTAGCTGGAAACTCTCATACACACGTCTATTGGAACAGAAATGATAAAAGTAAGCGCCAGAAGCTGTCGTTAGTCCCTTCATGAGCGACTGCTCTACCTCATGTCCTCTCTGTCAGACTCATTCTTTTTATGAAGTAAATATTCAATCGCGAGCAGCTTGGATGCTAAAAAAAGTTTGAGTATCACCGATGGAGTTTCTTCAACGTTGAACACTGTATATTCTATCTGTCTTGTTTGTTAAATGAAGTTTGGACAGTCGTTTTTACCCTTCCACTAAACTAAATGAGGAAGCTGCCAGATGCTCTGCTAGCATTAGCGCTGCTGTTCATCATACCGAAGCGACAGGCTCGTCTGCGCGGCTCACGTTGAGCTAGACAGGGGTTTAGTGGGCATGTGGAGAATTGTGTTTTTGGCCACAGATGTTTTCTAACCATGACGATTCAGTCAACTGATGACAAACCCGCAGGGAACTGTGTGTTTATTGCCATCACGTTGAGCTGAGAATGGAAACCTGTTCCTGCTGCGCTGTCGTACGTCATGTTCATTTAGCCTGTTTATTCAGCTTGGCCTTGTTTACCGAAGAGCTGGATAATTGAAAACTAACAGGACTAAATGCAAATCCTTCAGTTCCTCAGCTTTGATTTATTTATTTATTTTTTCTGTTTAGTGCGTATTGTTTCTCTCTGTTGTTGTTTACAGCTACTCTTAATAAAACTGCGGATGCTAACAGGACGTCTCATTCAACCTCAGGGCTGTGGAGGTGTTTATTGGCTCTTACGTACCTGAGAAGCGGAAATGCCAACCTGTGTTAAAAACAGCATCAGCGTAAATCACCATGTGTAAAATGTCTCAGTAAATTGCTGGGTGATAAAGAGTTTTCATATGACAGAGGGAACTGAATGCCTGGAGTGATGTCACCTAATTAAATGCCCCTGGTGCTCATGGGAATCATTCACACAGATCAATGCAGCCGCACAAAGCTCAGTCAGCCTTTATTGTGATTATGAATTACTGGATCAATTGAGAAGAAAGCTGCCGTTAGCGGAGCCTGGCTTGAGACTGAAGATCATATTTAAAATGCATTATTAATGGAGGAACATGTTAATTGGGTTAATTGCACAGCTTTCATATCTTTTGTGGAAAAGTGTCTTTAATTACATTCAAGTTGTCATAATATTCTTTAGAGCACCAGCTATAATATAATATAATATAATATAATATAATATAATATAATATAATATAATATAATTTAATATAATTTAATATAATATAATGTAATGTGGGCAAAGCAGTGGCGCAGTAGTTAATACTGTCACCTCACAGTAAGAAGGTCGCTGGTTCGAGCCTCGGCCTGGCCAGTTGGTGTTTCTGTGTGAAGTTCGCATGTTCTCCCTGCATTCGCGTGGTTTACTCCGGGAGCTCTGGTTTCCCTCACAGTCCAAAGACATGCGTTACAGGTGAGTTGGGTAGGCAAAATTGTCCGTAGTGTATGAGTGTGAATGAGTGTGTATGGATGTTTCCCAGAGATCGGTTGCAGCTGGAAGAGCATCCGCTGCGTAAAACATGTGCTGGATAAGTTGGCAAGTCATTCCGCTGTGGCAACCCCGGATTA